TATCTATCTATACTCTATCTATAATCTATCTATCTATCTATACTCTATCTATAATATATCTTTCTATCTATCTATCTATCTATCTATAATATATCTATCTATCTATCTATAATATAGCTATAGATATTGATCTTTTATTGTTAATATATCAAGACAAAGTATTACAAAGTAAAACAAATTCCGAAGTGATCCAGTTCATTACATATTCATATTTCCTTTTTAACAATTCAGAGTTAGTTTGGATATTTAGTTTATTTTTTTTATTATTTTGGTTGACATAGTAAGCTACGCAGAGGGTTTGGCTCCGTATAACTATAAACCTGAGCTTTCAGACTCTTCCCAGTTCCTTACCTTACATCATATTTTATTCACACGGCTTTAAAGAATCAATGTTTGGGTCTAATCAAGGGTTTCACAATAACCTGCAAATTCTTTGAATTTCTTTACATAAGAAAGGAAGGTATATTCATTGAATGCATAGCCCAATTCAGATTCCAGCGTTAACAGAGTTATTTAAAAGCCTCAACATTTAGAAAAAAGTATTTTAACCTGGAAACGAGCAGTTTACAGCATTTAACGCATCTCCATCAATATGGTAACCAAATCACAGTGTTTTACAAGGAGCCGAGTTAGACAGTTAAAATGGCTTCAAATGTCAACAAATTCACACCTCTAGCGTGAGAACTCCAACAAATTCACACCTTTAGGTGTTTTCTGTGTCTCTTCAACAATAAAGTGCTGACTGGGCCTGTCCTTTTCACCAAATGTACCTGATTAATAAATATTCATTAACTGAAAAACAAGCGGGTCTTTTCTCATTGTGCCATCATAAACACCGCAGGTCCGAGACCTTAAACATTGATGCCACCGCAAGGAACCTATTTTTATTGACAAGTTGTAATTCTTTATCTCCCGACACTCTCCTTTTCAGGTCTCTTGCCAGCTCTCAGGTATCCTTTTCTCCAAAAAGTTGAGATTACGTTCATGTACATGTAGTTTCTTTCACTCTTCCTTCAATACTCCTGTATAAACAACGCTCAACTAAATTGTTCAACCTTTCCTCCTGTGTATCAAAGAACAATATGAATGTGGCACATCATTGGTTATGCAGAAGTTTATTCCATTTGCTTAGTTGGGTAATTATAGTTAATGAGATTTAGGCAATGTTTAAAACAGGCATAAAGCAAGGACATTGTATAAAGTCACAATTCAGAAATAGAATAAACAAGTCAAATGACATTAAAGTTAATCAAACCACTCTTATACACAGCGGTGGGAAAATAGCAGCAACTCTTTTTAATGTTACTTTCTATCACTGAAATTAATGTTAAAAAAAAAAAAAACACAGGTGCCACATTTGCTCATTTTTTTTAGGAATTTCTTTTTTCTTTTTTATTACAGATTGCGAGAAAACCTGCTGAATTAGTGGAACATAAAGACTGACCGCCATAAGTTAGAAGTAATAAGTCCATTATACTTATACATGGACCAGCCACAACATTAAACCCACTGCCAGGTGGTAACATTGATTATATCGTTACAATGGCTCCTGTCAAGGGGTGGATTATATTAGGCAGCAAGTGAACAGTCAGATCTTGACTGTCAAGTGTTGTAAGCAGG